TCTCGCGCGTTGTCTTAGGAAGTAAAATTTTGTCACTCGTATGTATTTTTTAATTAAGTTAGTATGGAGCTTTAATTAATATATAAAATTGTTGTCGTAATTTCGGTCTTTGTAAATATTATTAGTTGCTACCTAAGTAAGACTTTCAGCGATTAAATAAATAATAAATGGTTTATTAAAAATGCAAAACTGTTTAGCATTCAATGCGCACTGTATTGCGATTTGCCGCCAAATTGGCTCCGGAATAATCGTGAGATATGAGGCAGCAGATAAGCCAGACTTAACCAATATCCAACCTCCGACCAACGAACGATAATTAACGCATTTTCATTAAACTGATGGATTTATGATTCTGTTAAACCTTTTCTATACTGAAACTGAAGTGCTTAAAGATATTGTTAAAAACAACATATCTCGCATTGCAATGTAGATGCAATTTATTTCTGTAATAATAAATTGTATTGAAAGACTGTCAAGTGACATATTATACAGGTAAGGTGTGTTCTATAGAGTTTTTATCTTGAACTGGAATCGGACCATACCCCTTGTCTTCGTGGTTAAGTACGCAAATCTCTGGCAAATAGGTAGCAATTTACGTATGGTAGCTATAATAAATATTTTGAGCTTGAACAGACACCGTCAAATGCACCAAGGTATTCCTCGATGTCTAAATTTAAAAAAATAGATTGTCGATATACGTCTTAGTAGAACCGAAACAAAAACGCATTAACGCTGTTTATTTTTATTTTAGAGTCTATGTAGTTTAAAAAAATTACAGAAAAGGAAGAAAAGGATTCAGGATAGAACCTACTGCCTTTGTAGAGTGGTAATCTTAACTTTATTATAACTACGGTTAAAATGTGTTTTAACTTAAACTCGTTGTTTAGTATGAAGTTTAGTTTCTTGAGTTTAACGTAGCAAGTTGTGTGTGTAAACAGAAACATATTGCATAAAAGAACATCATTACTGTAACAGTTCGCTCTTCTATTTATGTAATTTGATTTCTATATAAAGAGCATGAAGTCTTGTAACTTGCGAAATTGTAAAATAGTGCTTTCTTTTTTTTATGTTACTGGAGGCAGACGGGCAGGAGGTTCACCTGATGTTAAGTGATACCGCCGCCCATGGACACTCGCACTGTCAGAAGGCTCGCAAGCGAAAGAATTAGTAAAAATTTTAAGAATTGGTACGCTCTTTTCTTGAAGGACCCTAAGTTGAATTGGTTCGGAAATACTTCAGTGGGCAGCTGGTTCCACATAGTGGTGGTGCGCGACAGAAATTGCCTTAAGAATAACTTAGTTGTGGAACGACGTACGTTAAGGTTATACGGATGGTATTTTGTATTCTGCCTTGACGTGCGATGATGAAACTCAGCTGCAGGTAATTAGTAAGGACAACACCTCTGAACACTCTCAATGGTAAATGCGGTAGAAGATGCCGAGAGATCCCACATCTCTACGCAACGCCAAGGGATCAAGCCGCACGGAAAGTGACTGATCGTCGACGATTCGAATCGCTTTTCGTTGAATACGGTCAAGCGGAAGGAGCTGGTACTGGGGAGCTTTCGCCCAGAGGTGAGAACAGTACTCCATGTGGGGCCGAATTTGTGCTTTATAGAGTTGCAAGCGGTGGCCCGGCGTGAAATACCGTTTTTCTATGCAGTACCTTTAAAATTATTTTAAAAGTACAACCATTTTGAAATATAATAATTTCATCAACATTCATCGATTATTAAAAGTATCTTATCATGGATGCATATATAATGCCTCTGAGGCAACAAACAAATTAATTGAGCAGGCACAAAGCGCTAGACTTGGCATTGTTCGGGCGTGCTATTATAGGCCTATACAGGGGCGTATTATAAATATTATATTTTAAAGTTAGATATCGACTCTACATCTGAATATATTTCAAACAGTTAGCCTAGTTATTCGAATCGTGGCTGTGCAGCAATGGAAGCTTCCATGTGATTAGCTGTTGCTTGTACGGTTAAAACGGTTGCGAGGTGACAAGAAGCCAAGTATTAACGACATGTCATGGAAGACTTAACTCATTTCCTATAAAGAAAATAATAAAATACATATAATTAACACTTTTACATCAGAAATAGATGTGAACCGTGAGGCCCAAACCTATAAATTGATTGCGCTAGATTATTCTTGTCAGAATTATTAGACAAAAACTTACATCAACATGTGGACTGATTGATTTAATGGAGTATGTGTAAATTTAAATAGAAGCCTTTTCAATATAAGTAAAGTATTTTGGAATTTGGTACCTAAGAAAAGATTAACTTTTATGTTGAGTGTAGCTTAAACAGCTAACTAAGACTCTTCTATACAGGCTTTTATAGTTTCTATAGATTTTATTGGAAGCTTAGGCCAGATATAATATACAATTGCTCTTTTAGGAGAATACATCCCTGTGCTTCAAACAGAGCATTGTGCAATTACTAGAGCTAAACACGTCCGATGTTTTAGGCTAGATTTCATTGAGATAAGGCTGTTTTGATCCCATTTAACGAACAAGGTAAAAACCTTTAAAAACGTAAAATCAACATCCAACAATTCCGCACAACTTGTGAATCATTTTATTTTAAGATCTCATCATCATAATCTAGTTTAATGTAAGTTTGTAAGTATACTAGGTAAACTAAGTTAAAGTGTTTAAAATAAAGACAATTGAAAAATAAATGATAGTTACATTTATAAATTTAAGGCAAATATGTTTCCTGTTCGTACCAACAGACAAATAAATTGTTTTGTGGGAGATTGAGGTCAGGACCTGGTCTTACGCATGTCTGCCAAGTTAGAAGAGCACGTACCAGCGGGCACAACGGAGTTCAGGAAGCATACACAATAGATAGTTCTATAGTTCCAGATAATTTTAGACAGACTTCTGGACATTTAGGTCCAGAAAATATTTAATAATAATAGCGTAAAATGCTCTACCAACATCCTGATCACAGCAGAGCATTTCATCTGCGTTTCGTAAAATAAGATCTCAATAAAACAGCACATACAAATGAAATAGTTCCCGATCATTTATATGAAAAATAATAAGGTTTAATAATAACTAAAACATAAAGAATAATGAGAAAAATATTTGTAGTTTTCTTACACTTCACTGATTTAAAAAAAACTTTTAAGGGCTCTAAGTGCTTGAAATCCGTTTAGTTTTGTGCCCTGCTGATAAGTGCTCTGCTAACTTCACAGACATGTTATAAGGCATGTGCGCTAATGAAGCAAAGCCTGTGTTGCGAATAAAATTTCTTACTTTCAGTAAAAAGTCACGAAAATCTATAAAAATCAAAAAACACTAAGTGAAATCACGGGCCAACATGAAATTAAACCTTACGAAGCACCTCGACGTTAAATATTCATAGGACGACGTGGCACGCGGCCAATTTAAGATGAATTATTTAAAACTTCGCTCAAACATGGAGAATGGACTAAGCATTTCTTAACCAACTGATGAGAAAATATACAAAACATTGATGTTTTTCATTACGAAGATTTATTGGATTACTTTTTTTGTAGAAAAATTCAGTATGTGCATTTTACTCTTTTGGTTATGTAATCTATACAAAAAAACCTCGTCTATAATTGTGATTACTATGAATTTTATGTTGTAATAATTATTACGAATATCAATTCATTCAGACATTTACCAAATTATGCTAACAAAAAAAATATTGTCACATCTAAGTATATATTATTGCACCTACACCATCTTCGTGCAAATAAAGGATTATTATTAATTCTACGAGCAAAGACTTTCGAGTAAGAGCAATGTTAGCTTAGCGACTAGGTGCGCGATCCTCAATCCTTAAAGGAATTTTGTTATTAAATACTTATTTGTGCGGTGGAATTTCATAAGAAAATGTAAACATCGACCGAGTGTCATTTCTCTGTATAAGTAATAAGTATGTAATATGTTAAGGTACGATTCCACCAGTGTGCTGAACTTTGTGTGCTGTGTGCTGAAGCGGCAGTACAGCGTACGGCACAACAAAATATGTTTGTTTTCGTCGACTCACTTAAGCGAACAATAACAAATTGTGCTCGAAAATTTTAGCACAGTTCGCGTACAACTGTGCACTTGTTTGCGCGCACACGACACAAGTAGTGTACTCATGTCGACGCGCACACACTCGAACTCAGTACTACTAAAGCGAACACATTTAACTGTGCGCGCACTATGTCCAGTAACTTTTTGAATGATCAAGAATATTTTAATTACTAAGCACAAGGTTTTCCTGCCCGTCCATATTAGCAACTTTTGACAGAAAATCTTCTCAGTGAACAAGTGTGCAACACTGTGCGCGCACAAAAGTTACACCCAGCATTTCGGTGGAGACAGCAGCCAAACGCGATACGCGCTCAGTATTCTGCAATTGTTTTGCACAAAATGTTTGTAAACAAATGTACCGCACGAATAACGAATTCGACAGCCCGGACTCCAAAAGTAAACCAATAATTATCTTATTACTTTATTAATTAACTTATAATTAAATTACAAAAATTGTATCCGTGATTGATGCTAGATCCGAATAGAATGGCAAACATAATATTTTATTAAATTGAAATTACTAAAACGCGGTAAATGCTGGAACAGCAGAACAATTCCTCGAAGCCGGCACATTGACCAGACTCGTTCCGCAACGTCGGCGATGTTCTTAAGGGTACCGTATGTAATTCACGCTATTTTGGTGGAATCGTACGTTTAAGTTATATACTATATTTTTTGGTATTGATACTGAAGTTTTATACCTTTACAATTTTGTTAAATAATAGGGAAAAATAGACCTAATAAAACAAGATAAATTTGTGATCATTTATTTTTTTAAATCAAATTTACAATTTATAAAAAATAGGTTTTCGTTATGATTTCTCACGATTTAAACATACATATATTTAGTACTCAAGTGATTATTAAGATTCTAATAGCATTTTGAAATTGTTGCAGGTCGTCCTTGAATACTTCTTATCTTTCTTTTTTTAAGGTTTTTTCTTCGTCGGCTCAGTGGCGAGAACCTTATGCCTTATGTCGGAGTAACCAGTTTGCAAAAGCTCTATTAGGTCTAACACGGCGGGTTCTATAGTTGTTGGAGCGGTGTATTCGACCTTAACTGTCGTAGCTTTTGGCACATATACTCCTGGTTCATCTGGTAACTCCGCTCCCTCTTCCTCTGTAAAAAATATTCAATTATCAAAAGAGACTCAAAAAACATTTTCTTATCAACCACACTGTTTTTTTAATGGCGGCAAAAGGGCAGTAGGCTTACTTTATTTAAAATAATACCATTATAATATATTGCCTTATAGAGCTTCACATTTCCAGAAAGTATGGGAGTGTGTTGTCGGTTTTATATGAATTGGTACGCTTTTGAATCTAAAACTTCAATGAGAAAGCATATTTAACCATATTGGTGTAGTTGGCCTAGTAGCTTATTCATGCGACTCCCATCCCAGAGGTTGTAGGTTCGACCGCCGACATTCCACCAATGTTCTGTTATTGTGCTCATTTAACATCCGCTCGAATGGTGAAGGAAAACAACGTGAGGAAACTTCTTTGACATGCTTTCAAAAAGTCAACGGCGGGCGTCAGGAATAGAAGGCTGATTACCTACTCATCTAGATTTTTTATAACAGATACATAAATCTGAGTCCCGGGACTAAAAGGTAGCGCTACTTTTTTTTTACTAAACTTTAAAAAAATAAAAATAAACCAGTGGCGCTACAACCTCTATAGGTGCCTGACACACGCCGTCGACTTTTTGGGTCTTAGACATGTCGGTTTCTTAACGATGTTTTCCTTCACCTTTCGAGCGAATGTTAAATGCGCACATAGAAAGGAAGTCCATTGGTGCACAGCCGGGGTTCGCACCTACGACCTCAGGGATGAGAGTCGCACGCTAAAGCCACTAGGCGGACACTGCTGCATAACTTTTGTTTTATTTGTCCATCTTGAATAAATCGTGTTTTTAGTGAATAAATATCACTAAAACACCACAACAATAGTATGTTCGGCAACGCCACATCCTTCAATTAGACCTTAGACAAAAACTTAGTAACTTACGAAACGCTACGAATTTGTATGTGACCATTCACGTGTTCCTCTCACGTGACCATGCGACATTGATAAACAGTTCCTAATCAATCAGGAGACTTAAATAACTATAATATACGCACCGTCATTTATTTCCTTGCCCTTTTCTGTAGTCGATACATTAGAAAAAGGCGTGGTGGACCAAATATCATACGCCGGTACCCACACAGACACCTCTAAGGGCTCGAAGCCGAAAGTTGTCATGTGTGTAGGACCCCTATACTCCACAGGCTGCATAGTAAAGTCCGCGTAATAAGATCCTTCTTCCCATTTCCACTGCTGAATATCGAGCAAGGTCATATTCTTTTGGAATCCCCATGCGAACATCTCGAATCGACATGTATCGGAGAACATTAGGTATACGGATATTTCGAAGACCGAACCTGAAACATATCGATATTATATTAAAAAAATATAATTTATTCATAAAGGTAACTTATTATAGACTTACGACGTAAAATAAAATACTCAAAATTTAAATTTACTGCTAGCCCGCAAGGGTGTAAATGGCCAAGAAGAACTGCTGGTGTTTGAAACTACACTTTCACAATCCGGCTCCAAGGACCAAACATGTTTGAAACTACACTTTTAACCCAAAAACATTTATTGAACGAAAAGAAAAAACAAGAGAATAATTTTGCTTAAAAAACTAAACGTCAAATCTGAGTTTTGAGATGTTTCGGAAATAGGATAGCGTAAGTGAGTATCACTACAGCATAATGATGAGTAGAGAGCAGTAGACTGAGTTCCCCAAACTATATAACAATGTGATCACACATAATCTTATATCTACAGTACTTTTTTGTTAAAAGGTGAGACTTTTTTGAAGTGAAACTTCTTTATCGAGGTTGGAAAAAAATTTAGTGTAACATTTTTTCGTTACGCGTCACATTTGTCGGTTACGCGCCATGTTGCTTTTTGAAGTCAAACTTCTTTATCGGCGTTGGAATGAAACTTCTTTATCGACGTATGGGAGAAATTTTGTAGCAAATCGTCACGTTTTTCAATGATAGTAATAATTATATTACAATTAATGAAATTCTATAATAATCTTCGTAGTAATAAGGTAAAATGAAATATTTGTATTCATGTCTATGATAATAAAAGCCTTTTGTTAAACTTTATCTAATTTAACGAATTTCTGTAAAGTTGCATATAGTAGATCATTTTTCTAAAAATAAGATCATAAAGTAGTTTCACTTCTTACGTGTGTACACCTAGTACACGCACAATTTATTTTATATGTTTTTAATGTCGCTTTTGAAATCTTGTTTAATGTTTTTCTATCTCAGGTAACTAAAATTGAATTATTATTTATTAGAATCGTAGGTAAGTAAAGGCAGTAGGTATTTGAACGTACCCTTGTATGCATAGCAAGGCGGTCCATACGAGAATCTCGGACAGAAATGTTTGACTCGCATCTCAGATGCTGCGGACGCGTTTACCAACTCAAGAGTGAGACAGGTATACTCCACATTGTCATATATAGACATCTGAAAATATTGTTTTTATTTTTATTAATAACAATTAATTGATCCAATTGGTATCTGGCGTTGCTTCGCCGACAAGCACTCGAAACATCGAGCTATATAATAGAATCGCGATTATATACTGTTCAAAACAATTAGCGGAACAAGATTTTTCTCCTTTCTATTGCTTAAACTAAAATTAGATTTAAATCGGTGCAGTAAAAGCCGACATAATCAGTTTAACATTGACTGGATTCACAAGGGTGGCATTGTCCATTATTTGTTATGTTTAGGGTATTTTTTTTTTTTGGTCTATCGAATTAATCATAAGCTGTGATGGTAGAATCTAATTTTAAAATAAATATATATTTTACTTTTAACTACAATGCAACGGTGTTATAAGGCTCCGAAACTACTGGTCCGATTTCAAAAATTGACCGTTGGCAAGCTACACTATGCCCGAGTGACATAGGCTATGTTTAATTTTCGGATGCTTACTAAAACTTTCAGGACACATCACTATCTATAAAAAATGTCTCGACAGCATGTCTCTATCTTTTATAGTTACGTCTCAATAAGCGTCCTTTTATTAATTTTTTTTTATTAAAATACCACCGCTATATTATCACCATCCTTATCAAAATAAATACCAACGTTTCACATAAGCTACAATTTAATGGCATAACCACCAAAAAAGCATGGTGGATTGGTGTTCTCCTGCCGTTTCTCGTCAATAGTTTACTACTATGTAATATAACAAAAATCTTAGCCACAGCAACGCTTGGTCGAGTCTACTAGTTAGTAATAAAAAAACAGAAATTGGCAATATACTTACATTATATGTGAGGAACTGGTACTGATTATTGTCAGTACGCAGTGAGATCATTTCACGGTAAACCAGATTTATTTTCTCTTCTTCGTCGCAAGCGCCGAAACGTTGATATGCGTGGAAGGCGTTACCACCTGGAATTTAACATTGTAGTTTTAAGATAATTTCGTAAGAAAATATACTTCAAAATTGAGTTAAAAGTAAAAAATAATCAATATAATTAAATAAATCAGTGGGTATAACCTTTTTAGGTCTGGGACTCAGATTTCTGTATCTGTTTCATGATCATTTTAATCTAATAGGCAAGTAGGGGATCAGCCTCCTGTGCCTGACAGATGCCGCTTGTGTCTAAGGTTTCCTTCACCGTTCGAGTGAATGTTAAAAGAAAGAAAGTCCATTGGTGCACAGCCAGGAATCGAACCTACGACCTCAGGGATGAGAGTTGCACGCTGAAGCCACTAGGCCAACATTGCTCTTAATATTTAAGAAAAAAATTAAAGTATAAAAAATGTCTATGTATGGTAGAGAATGACATATAGGTATATGAAAGCATTGTGTTTATAAGACAATTAATATAAGTATATATTATGAACTTTATACATACTTCAAACTATGTGTCCGATTTTTGATTTCTCAGTTAAACCACTAACAAGAACAAGGCAAGAACCAATCTTAAGAGATGACTGGATCTAATATAAATACTGTAGTATACTGTAAAGTATTACGTAACGCAATTTTTGGAGATTATTGACCCCCCATGTAACTCGCCGTAACGTTTTTCAGTACCCAAGTACAGTACTGTACCCAAGTATAGTAAAACGTTTCGTGACCACCTAGTGACTCTTTAGTTACTATTATGTGGTGTAAGTCGAAAAAAATATAAACAATAACGCGTAATTTCATCCCCGCCCCGCATCGTAACGTTTTACAAAAGGACCCCCCCTTCCCAAAATACGTTACGTAATACTTGAACGCTCCCTGACACTGAGATAAAGATAGTTGGAGCGTGGTTTGTAAATTTATTGTTTAATAATATCTTACTTCTAAGTATAAATTTGTGTTTGGATATCTTGGAGATGGTGATTCTTCGGAACTTAGCAAGACTGCTTTCGATCCAGGGGAAGTAGCTCATGATGTCAAGATACCGGGAGGGCGCACCACACCCAGGGCCTCGTACTCCTACACCTAACTAGAATGTTTTTTAATTGAGCGTCATCACGTAGCGATAAATACAAACTTTGTTAAATTTTTTTTTTACTGTGGCAAATTGTTAAAATATAGCAATGTTTTAAGCGCTATCAAGTGGCGTAACATATAAGCATTTACGTATCATTTTTAATGTCAACGCCATCTAGTGGCGAATGCTGAAGTCATTTTAAAATACTGCTTTTATTTATTACATCGCGTACAGTAGCGATTAATATATGCACTTGAATACCTTAAGCGTAACATGTAAGATGTGTTCGGAAGAGTATATCCGCCCGAACGCGGGGCATATAGTGAATATATCAATAAATATTACCATTTGCCAACGTCCCCAAACGTCCCGTGAGACGAGCATACCACCCGCGTCCCATACACAGACATCATTGTTTTCTAACGACACTGCGCATGCGACGTGCGGCGGACGCAACTTTTTTGCGTATAACTGTAAAATCAAATAATTCAGTTAGGAAAAGCCCACATTAGCTGGAATGCAAGATTACCATTAAAAAAAAGCACGGACATCATTTTACGCTTGTCAACTTTTTACATCACACATTAATTTGTCGAAAATTATATACTATTTGCAAATACATATCTATTTAACATTATTATTTGTAAAATTATTATGTTTTAAAAGTCCTGTCACTCCCAAATAGGGTGATTGAGGCAGACATTACTGCGTATGTTTCGTTGATTATTAAAGGCAATGGGCGGGCATCTCCTGTGCGTACCAACTCGAAACGACGTTTTGTTCGCACAGGCGGTTAAATTATTAATCTTAAATGAATACTCCTTTTAAAAATACTGTTTAAAAAACTTACATTAGCTTTAACATAGAACTCCCGACACATATTGCCTGGTATGTGTGAAACCGGAATCACTCGTTTCTGGAGTCTATCGTAATCTATAAATAATTTCATTAAAAATAATTATTAAATAGAAATATACTCCTAACTAGCGTTAAAAAGATCTAAAGCGTTATAGATGGTAAAATGCGTTCCTTTATATTATGCAAAATTTTCATGGACCTGCATCGAATTGACAAATCTTCTCTAAAATTATTCACCAAAATTGGATCACCCAATCATGTGTGACAACGTAATCAATGCCAACCTTTAATTTACTTAAAGGTAAACTTAAAATTCTAGTGTTTTCTTTAAAAGCATTACGTATTAAAAAAACACTTTTGCATATTGTAAAATGCAATATAAAGCGATTAAATTTACGTGAAAATTTAAAGATACACAGTAACTTGAAACTTACTATCCGCGAACTTTATGACGTAAAGGTCAGGGCTGCGTAAGATCTCCGGTGGCGGACATAGAGGTTTTATATTTACTGAAAACAAAAAGCAAATTTTAAGTGTTTATTTACCTATAATAGCAACAGTTTTCTTAACTATCTTTGTGACAGTTTTAATAGTAAAACTACTGAAATGAACAAAAGTTTCGTCATTGAATTCTAGTGACTTTTTTCAAATGAATTCTATAATTTTCGAGATCACATAAATAATCGAGTTGAGCGTGACGTTCGCTGCTCTGTACTGCGAGAGCAAACAACGGTGGTGAGAGGCATCGTAGTATTTACTGCCGCGGGTAATTGGACTACACGGTCAGTTATTAGATAGTTAAACAACATAAAAAACAAGTTGAAGAATTGTTTTTATCTGCATTTGTCGCGCTCCTAATTAGACTGCTATTGTTACATTAAAACAAACCATAGTGGTTTTGAAATGTTATATAGCATGATTCAAATTTTATTATTCTCTAAAATAAATTAATTAATTCAAGAAAAAAATTAGAAACAATGACACAACTTTTGATTATAAAAACATACCATTCCTGACGGGAGTCCTCAGTTGCACTAGTGCGATGGTGTTATATGTCTGATCGTATTCAGGATGCATTAGGTAGCTGCGCACTTGCCGCCCTACTCGAGTCCAATCCTCCCCAAGAAGGACACGGGCGTTTGCCCTGAAATGGATTCGTGTCATTTTAATCAGGCTTTTCATGCTGTGCTTCCGACAATTAAATTTTATATAACATAATACTTTTTTATCAATTTCTTTATTTTATTATCTTTTATTTTATAATTTGGTTAAGCATTAGCGTTCAAGTATTACGTCACGCAATTTTTGGAGATTATTATCCCCCAATTAACGCGCCGTGACGTTTTTCTGTACCCAAGTAAAGTAAAACGTTTCGTGACCACCTAGAGACTCTTTATACCTAAAATTTACCATTATGTGGTGAAAAGTACTGGAAAGTCGAACGTCATCATCGTTTTACAAAAGGACCCCCCCAAAATTCGTTACGTAATACTTGAACGCTCCCTATACTATTACGATTACGTCATAGAGTTTCCATGCAATTTGTATGCAATGTACTACAACTAAAAAAAAGAAAACAATAATATGCACGAACATGTAAACCCAACAATGACAAATTACAACAACGATTTTAAAAGGCGCTTGAAAGCAGTAGAGGAGCACGAAAACATATCAACTTTGAAAAAATGACTGTTATAGGAATTACATATTCAGTAAAAGTGACTGAGAGTGAGCAATACTTGGGCAGCGCTCTGTGGGAACTAGACGGAAGCACAATTGTATAGTGTGATATTGTAAGAACTATTTGTGTAAAATAATAAAATTAACATAACATTTTATCTGTAAAAAAAATTAGGGACAGTTCCGTAATTATAACTTGTATATATATTTTTTTGATATCTTGTATTTGTGTCATGTTTCCTTATTAATAAATAAATTTATTATTAAATTGTTCATGCTAAGGGGTCAAATCCTAGTTTAAAATATTACTTAATATAGATAAATATTTCATATAAGCTTTTATCGGAGGACTGTAACACACCTAAAATCAGTCTTAGGCATCGGTCCAATATCAGCGGCGGGCGCGATCACAAACTCCGCCTGTATAAGCGCCACCGTAGTTACAGCACGAGTTTCCCCTATTTCTCCAACTGCAACATCCAAATATCGTATTTACATTCTTACTTCATTCTTTAATTTAATTCCGTAGAATATATTTGTACATTAACATCACGCAACGAGCGAAAATATATTATAGTAAAATTGCATACATTATTATCCTAATAATTTACAGTGTCACTAGTCTTTGCTTTTAGAGATGAGCTCTTAGAATAAGTAGGTATAAGTATGCCATGAGCAAAATCAGGACACAGAGATACAAATTATTCCTTCAATATCTAATTAACTTACAGTATGAATAATACAGTACACCAAGCCAAGGGTACTGAGTGATGTCAACATCGCCTATGCTTACATCCAAGTCATGGTCTATCCCGCAGTCTATTAAATCTAAAGATACGCCATGAGTACGGTTCACTGAAACATATTAACAACATAATATGCCTATAAATATTTCATACCGGGAGTTGTATAAAATTAATATATACAGGGTGGCCAAAAAGTCGTGGATCAAACGCAAATAGGGGATAGATGAGGTCATCAGCGGCAAAAAATTGTTCTACGGGAGGTCTCTGAGGTCAACCCCTGCAGAGTTATGATTTATTTTGGTTTTTATATGAAAATTGACTTTTTTTACTAATTCTTATTAAAATTCGAAAAAATCTACATCCTGTTTCTTTTTCATAATATCCACTAGATTGGTACTGATGAGTTCTGCGTTAGACATACTATTTATACTTGTTTATTGAGTGTATTGAAGATAATATTAAGTTATACGATATAATTTTTTTTCAAATCAAAACTTTTTGTTTATTTCGGACCCCACTGTGAAAAAAAATTACTCTACCGAAAAGTGACCCTATATTACAAGTTTTGGCGCATTTAATATGGATTCTGAAAAGGTATTACAGATGGCCATAAGTCGCTCTAATATCTTTCTAGGAGGAAAAAACAACAACGATTCGGACTTATGATAGATTATTTACCTACCTGTGACCAGTACTGTGTGAATCGGACTAGATTCAAAGAATTGGACAGATGGCTGGAGGGTTACTTAGGAATTTGTTTAGACGGTACAGATTAAGTATTATGGTCAGAGTCAGGAATTTTGAGCATATTTTATTGTAAAATATTTTGTTTCCTACAAACAACCATTGAGAAATAATTGTTTTAATACAATAATTGTTTTTTCCTCCTAGAAAGATATAAGAGCGACTCATGGCCACGTGTAATACCTTTTCAGAATCCCTATTAAATGCGCCAAAACTTGTAGTACAGGGACACTTTTCGGTGGAGTAATTTTTTTTCAGTGGGGTCCAAAGTAAAGAAAAATTTATGATTTGAAAAATCGTATCACTTAATATTATCTTGAATACACTCAATAAACAACTATAAATAGTATGTCTAACGCAAGAACTCATCAGTACCAATCCAGTGGATATTATGAGAAAGATACAGGATGTAGATATTTTCGAATTTTAAGAAGAATTAGTAAAAAAAAGTCAATTTTCATATAAAAATCCAAAGATAAGCCATAACTCTGCAGGGGGTTGACCTTAGAGACCAACCTATTACAACATTATTTGCCGCTGATAACCTCATCTATTTCATTCCGCGTTTGATCCAGACTTTTCAATCTATATATCAACTTACTTTAATTGCTTCTAAAGATTTATCACAAATCAGCAACTATCAAATGGTACCACTGTGTAGTTTTATTTAATTTTAACAAGATGAACCGATAATTAAGGTAAAAAACGACTTAGCGCAAACTCATGTATGTCAAATCCCGATACGTTTTTGATAGGCGGGAGTCACACTTACCGCTAAGTCTCTAATTCTTGCATTTATAATCATTAAAACAAAAACAAAATATTTACCTGATAATATAACAATTAAAATAAATATGGGCTTGTGGCACTTCATTTTAAATTACCTCTATACATTACTAAATATGTACTTTCAGCTCAAAGGTGTGTAATTAATTGAGTTTAATAATAATTTGTTTATTCAATTCTGTTTTCATCACATAAGGATGTTGTTATCATATTATTTTCGTAAATCTTTCGATGTTTACATTTTTCATGTATAAATCATAATAACCAATGTTGAGTAGCATTCGTTATAATCGTGGTCTGAATATAAGTGTTTATTAATATACATAAAAAAATAAAATAAAACCTGGTTGTGGTAATATTATTACAATTAAAAATACGAAAGTTTATATGACATAATTTATTCTTATAAATAGTATAAAAATAACTTTAATCCCTAACCTAAACTACGAACTTCTTAGACCAGTTACTTTTCTGTAGGCACTAAAATGTTCTAAATACTGGTATATAGTGTCTATTGGAGTATAAATCTCATTCATTCTGCTCACAAGGTGTTGGGGAGGTTGTATATTTATTGTGGGACCTAAAAGACCCTGTAGAAATTCTCGGAGAAGACCCCATACAGCATTGGCCATGACGCAGGGTCGATATTCCACCTAAAGATTAAATGTTTATTTTATTGAGGTTCAAACAGAATTGTTTCTTTATTTGTTGCTGATAATTTTTCCTTAAAAGCATGCTGTTTACACACATTTGCAACATGATACAATTATTGTTTTGCCAAAAATCAAACCCAGTCTTTGCGAGCTGAGTCACAGGAGTAATGTTATCTTTAAGTATTTTAGATGATCTGTATAAATTCATTGACAATATTAAAACTAAAGTATCTAGTTTGGAAGATGAACTTCATATCAAAACAATATTCCAGCTGCTGACAATATTGTTTATTGATGGCCTACATTTAACACACCTGTTAAGAAAATAGAAGCGATTCAAAGTCTTAGTTGTTTCCAAGACTGTTACATTTTTGCAAAACTAATATAAATAAAAAAAACTTAAGTAAAAACATACCTCTACCAATACTCCTTTGAAACTTTGATTCATAGTAACAGAGCCAATTTTCACACAAAAATCTCCAAGTTCAAATCTTGGACCTTTGCTTTCAATTTTTGTTTGTTTTTTGGATGTATAATGTTGTGACAGTTTCATCATTAACAAATCAAACAACCCATCTGCTATTACATGAATATTTTTTGTTCCACTTTCTAAAATTGAGAAAACGGAGGCTGGCTGCTCAGAGTTGTGAAGAATGTGAACAGTTTTAGTTGTTCCTGCAACTGATTAACAAATAATTTAAAGGATCATGTTTAAGAAATAAAATTAGTTTCAATTTATATGCATTAAGTTATAGACATTGTTTACTATATTGTTTATATAGTTGATCTGCAGTTATAAAAAATGTTAACAAAAATCTTATATAATTCTTTGTAATAAACAGAAGACTTATTTAAAACATACTATGAAATCATGATACTAGTAGAATTTAAAAAGATAAAGAGATCACACCGAGATATTTTTCTGTCCTTCTGACTTACCCATTTGAGGATGGGATAAATAACTTTCGCAGTCCACTAGAAATTGACCTTGTTGTGTAGCACCAAGCGCTAATAATCGTTTTGTTAACAGCTCTATAACATATGTACCAGTTTTGTTTTCGGGAACTGGATATTGTTGTAACCTGCATGAAAATGTTTCCTAACAATTCGTGGATATAACAGTATATTAAATAAGTGAAATATTAAATACTTACACTGTGACTCCCATAATATTACCGTTTATTTATTTATTATAATATGATTAAATTAACCGGCCAAATAATATGTTCTCGAGATATTTATTAGTATATCAATTATTTGTTGCTGAATTTCCAACATTAAGTTAATTCAAAATATTGTAAATGTAGTATGTTTTACACTGCCTCAGTATTGGAGTAAAGAAAGAGATTTTCAAAAATAATAACTAATTTACAATTTCAAAACAAACTCGATGTTGGATGCACAGATAAGATGACGATAACACAGATATAGTAAAAAACTGTAAAGAATTCGGTCCCTTTAAGTTTGAGTATTTTAAGTACATAATATATCATAACAAAGACTTATTTCTATGAATAATCAAGAACTCTAATATTAAGTATTATAAAAAATCCTTTACGTGTTTATTATTTAGTTATCTTTGTTTATAATGTTTCTATTGTGATATGTCATCACTCAAATCATCAGATTTCGCGGGTAATTGAATAATACAATTTTATTCTGGAATCAGTAATCAAGAACAGATGAATTGGAGAAAACTTTTGTAATATTTTATTTTATTATGATTATGTTTAGTAATTAGTAACAGTCTTACCATAAACACTGCCTGCACTGATTTAAGAAGAGATGTCCGATTCGAAAGAAGTGCGTTTGGAAATAAACAATGCTTTTAAACTTAGTGGTTTTACTATACGAAGAGAGGCAAGTAGTTTTCTAGCTGAGCAATTGTCTGGTTTATCCAACAAGGAACGAATAAAAGTCATTGATAAAATTACTGCTCACATATTGCACCAGTGTCTATCTCAACCTGTATTGGAAAAGGAACATTTAGAAGTGGCATACAGGGAATGCAGTTCAGCAGGTCTAGAAGAAACTGAGACAGTTCTTAATGTAATTGATGCATTTAATGTGCCGAAAATATCATATGATAATGAAAAAAAAAAATTCTCTATAGATCTTTCAAAAAATAACATGTATGCAGAACCCAAATGTAAAGCTCAGTTTTTAATAGACAGATACACCATGATTTGGCAGAGGACTAACAGAAATAAATTATTTGCTAAAGAATTGTTACCTTCTATGAAAAATGAAAATCGTTTTCAGCTAAGAAAAATTGAAGTCTTACTAAGTACATCTCGTAAAGTGGATGATGTTGTAGTGCTCGGTCTATTAACACAGCTGACAGAGGGGAAGTATTATCTAGAAGATCCAACCGGTAGTGTCCTTCTTGACATGTCTCAAACTCGGTATCATTCTGGCTTGTTTACTGAAAACAGTTATGTACTTGTTGAAGGATACTTTGAAGACAAAACACTTCATGTAATGGGACTTGTTTTACCACCATCAGAAACTAGAGCTATATCCTTACCATACTTTGGCAACTTAAATACATTTGGGGGTAAATCTAAAACATTATTGAAAAACTCACAGAATTTGTTAAAAATTGAACAGGAAAATGAAGATGGGATGATAATTTTTTTATCTGATGTATGGTTTGACAACTTAAAGGTAATGTCTAAACTAAAAACTTTGTTTGCTGGTTATGATGACTTTCCACCAATAGCAATTGTTTTTATGGGTGAATTTCTGTCGTGTCCATATGGATATGAGCATAGCACACAGTTAAATGCTGCTTTAATAAATTTGGCAGACATAATTATGCCATTCACAAAGTTGAGAGAGGCATGCAAGTTTATATTTGTTCCTGGAAGGGGAGACCCAGCTGCTGCAAATATTTTACCAAGGCCTCCCATACCCAACACAATAACAAAACAAATTAGTGAGAAATTAGGAGATTCTGTCATATTTACCACTAATCCATGTAGATTGCAGTATTGTACCCAAGAAATTGTAGTATTAAGACAAGACTTGGTAACAAAAATGTGTAGAAATGCAATACATTTTCCAGATGCAGGAGACATACCAGATCATTTAACCAAAACCTTACTTAGTCAGTGTACATTATCTCCACTATCCTTAGGTGTACAACCAGTATTTTGGAAACATGCTGATGCGTTAAGCTTATATCCAATGCCAGATTTGGTGGTTGTGGGTGATAACTTTCCTCCCTATTCAAGATCATATCAAAATTGTCAAGTGGTTAATCCTGGTTCATTTCCAAGAACTGAATATGCATTTAAAGTGTATGTTCCAGCTTCAAGAATGATTGAAGATTCACAAATACCTAATGAAGATGCCTAATAATGGTATACAGAAATAAATGAATAATGTATAAATTTTTTTGTTTTAAATCTGATATTAAATAAGAATAAGGGAATACACTCCTCCTATCTTGGTGAATCCTTTAAGGTATCTGCAGTTAGGCTATGGAATTCTCTTCCTGTCTCTATTCTCTTAGCTCCTTCTCTATCTTCCTTTAAATTTCTTCTGTACAAACATTACCAGTCCACATTGTATCCCTAACTTTCGTACTAACTACTAACCGACGTGAGACTGATCTTAAATTATCGTGATTCATGTGCACTTTTTATTTTTCTTGACTCCTTTATTAGTTTTTTTTTTCTTAATAACATATGTAATTTGTATTTTTGCACTTCTTGCTTACCTTGTCTAATTTACTACATTTTTTTCTTTACTCACAGTGGTTTCCAGGAAGAGATCGCTCGAAAGCGATAAGGCCGCCAGTTGCCCTCCTTTTCATTTAATTGTAAAAAAAATATATTGTAATGTCACGACAATAATAATAAATAAGTTTAAAGATATAAAGCATATCTCAAGTAATAAAACAATATTGATTCATATACTAACTTTATTTACAACATACTTTTCGCTTATAATACTAATATAATTACCATGTATTTTTAAATAGAATAAATAAGGGTTTACAACCTTCATATTAAATTTTAAATGATGCTCATAATTGTATCTTGTGAAGAATCACAGAATTTATGGACGGAGAATAACTGGTATATTTACTAAGCTATTCAAGCTAAACTGTAAATACGTAATAAGTATTAAAAAGTACTTTATAAAATTAAAAATTTTAACAAAATGCAATTCTTAGTTTATCAAAATAGACTTATTTATAAGTGAGAATTAACGATAGACGAATATTTGATTGTTTTATTGAAATTTGTAGATTACAATCATTGATGTAGCGGCTCTGCTTCGCACTGAGACAGAAACTTAGTTGAATAATCATGAACTCCTGAATGGCTAATTTTTTATTTACAATCGTTAAATTGATTTTTTATTGCAACTATCGCCCAAAAAATGAGCTTACGAAATGTTTTATGATTAAAGAGATATAAATTGGTGCAATTTGTATACAATTGTAGCAATATGTTTTTTATAAAACCATTCTTGGAACATATCAATCCTTAATTAGAAAAAGTTTGACCTTTTTTATTAACTTAAAAAATTATACGAGAGCGACAAGTTTTCATTGTGCTAAAGATTGCATTGGAAACCTCGTCCTTACTTGGTAACTTTAAAATACAATAATTGGAAGTGCTTAACTTAACATAAGTACTTATTATTAGGTGTTACGTCTTCAAGCATTAGATATATAAGCATATAAACATTAAATGTTTTATACATTCCAGTTCCATTGGAAAGTAAATTGAGAACTAACTGATGAATATACATAATATATTTAAAACTTATTTACAAAGTATTTGTGTATTTCGAGAAAAGCCTGCGACTGGAATTAAGATTAAAACCACCTAGCATAGTTTTCAAGGTAATCGCTTTGTAACCGATTCCGAAAACCTGAACAAGGTTGATATTTTAACATATTTTTTATTACACCAATCTCTATGATTGCTTCATACAATACGAAAAAAATCAATATTGTTATATTTATTTATCTCAATAATTCTAGTACTTAAGACAATTGAAATAAATAACATTTCAGTCAAAACCGTTTACGATGTCATGGTTTAGAACAACGTTATTGACCAAAATCAAAGGTCCCGGCTGAATTCTATTCTTTAGGTACTGAATAACAACGTCATCGGTTTTTACGACCAAATAGTGTCCAGTGCCAAGTAGTCCCTTCGATGTCGTTATAACAGATTTTGATTTTATATTTCTTACTGTTTAGTATTTTGTAAGGTTCAATTGTTGTATTAAGAATTATGTATTGAAACGACACACAAACCCACTCGTTATGCATAATTAATTAAACACCCATCGTAGAACTATAAGTCACCTAACGGGGCTAATGCTACTAAACAAACAACGGCTACAACGAAAATTAAAATTATTGGCGCGTAAACTCCAAGAAGATGTTTTCTGAAGCTGGCAAACTGAAAGAAAAGATTCATCATTAGTGTGACAATGAATCAGAGATAATCAACTCTGAATACATATCGGTTATACATTTAACAAAAAAGTTTATCAGCATCAGACGCGTATAGACAAAATGTCAATAATTTCAATAAGAACTATGTTCCGTATTACGTGATATTAAATTGCAACATCACGTCTAAATCGAAATTGGATGTCGCCGTTACATGACGCCGTAATAATAGACATCTATAACTATTATAATGCCAATCCCAACAATTTATTGAGTCAATAAATGGGAACCGGTTTTACAGAGTCGCTCAGCTTAAAGGCTGGGCCTCCGTCATTGGAGGTTTAGGCCTCCTCCGTTCTCTGGTAACGACACATATCTCATGATAAACACTTGTCTGTAAATCTTATAACTAGTACTTACACTAAACTTAGTTTAAAGTACTTTTTAGTAATAGAAAGTTAACTTTTCGTGCTCGACATTAAATAGTGTATGGAAGTGATTAATTTGAAGGAATATGATACGCATGCAAATTATTCAGAAAAAGCTTAGATGGCTTAAACATTATTTCCATAAACCAACCCTATTTTAATCTGTAGATATTTATGTTTAGATTTGTTTAAGACTTCCGCTAATGGAACGCGTTTCTGTTTGTTTATGATCATTATTCCAATCCTTAATATAAAATTAATCTAGTAAGTATTAAGAAAGGTTAAACACAGATGAGAAATAAAGGCATGCGTCATAACGTCTCACCGGCGCGTCAGAGCTTCGGTCGACCGCACTGACTTGTCTGGAATGCCCTAACATGTCTTTCATTGGGAACGAGTTAACACGGCCGTTGCTGATACGGCCTTCAGATACGCACACCGTTAACTGAAAAAGGTATTTGTTCAATTTGGAAAAGGGTTTAATTTAAAGAAGTAAACTGTCAAATTTTTATAAATGATAGATGTCACTTTTTTGATCGTTATTTGTTTATGGATAAAAACAAGATGGCGTCTTTAATTCTCGACGAGTCGTATCTTATTTAAAGAAAGCGTATTTGGCAGCAGTTGATTTCAGTTTTTGGCAACCTAAGCAAGCGACAAACAAAGTTCTGTAAAAAGGAATTATTTTTTTGAACAGCTTGTGAGCAAATCAATGAAAAAAATCGTTGGAATTTTAAAATATTTGTTTCATTGAAATACTTACCGAGAGTATTATATGCATAATGACATGGAAAACAACAAACGCAGCTAGAATAAAAACGGTCCACGGCGGCAACTCAGCCTTCTGAAGGTACACGGCGAAGAATATTGTTGTTACTGAAATAGAAGTACATAATACATATTTGTTAATATTATAAAGAAATATTGGTTTACTTTTTTTTGTATAAACTCTAAAACCACTAATCCATATTTAAAAAATATTTCGCTAATTTAACGCTACATTTTTGGTGAGTAAATAGCGACGTAAAGCTATAATATCATCTATAAGACAGTCTGTATGACAAATGTTGCCGCGAAAAAATATACCGTATAAAGTTACACAAATATATATCGTAACGGAACGGTTACCCTTATTATGCAACAACAAACACGAAAAGAAACACACGACTGTTAATAGTTTTATACTAGTCATAAATTGGAATATTAATAAACGAATGAAATAAAACCTATAAATGGCGCCAAGGTTAGAATATGGCAAAGAGTATAGAATATAGTAACTGAGCTTCTGATTAATATTGAATATTACTTTGAGCAATTATGTTATTTTAAATTTTTATTTTAGTTTATAAATAACGACATTAAAGATTACGTCGTTTTTACGATATTAATTCTTATATTACTATACAAGATTAGATAAATACTATACTAACTTCCTAAAATATGAGCAGCATTGCCGAGCAGCCAGTGTGCCCAGTTGAATATTGGACGCTTTTGTGTACCCGGGTGAGGTCTGAAGTATGCTCCTGTAATAAATACATTTTTATTAAGTGGTTTGATTGAAGTCGGAACCGTATTTTTAAGCATATTATCTTTATTATTTTAAAGCGATATCTTAGTTAGCTTTAAGCTAGGAAACAATTTTTGTTCCGGGAAGCGAACTAAGTTGGCAGAAATAAATGTAATATTCGTTTAAGTGTCAAAATTTCGAATTTATATATAATTAACGATTAGCAACAATTATTTATTCCATAATTCCAAGATTATTTGGACTTTAACAATTGGTTTTTACTATGGACTAAAGATTAATTTCGTGTTTCCATAGTTTCATAACTTGGTGTTTTTCCTGTAAAATACTCATTTTATTATAATCATGAAAAAGTTTCAATCTGATATCTCACCAATCGGTTGTATGAAGCACAGTATTACAGTGACGAGTCCAGTGATAGCGTGAGGGTTATCTCCGGTGGTCGCGAACCCTCCCACCTCCACAAGGATCAGTATAAAACCAACCACTGTTAGTAACCAAGTCGCCGCCATAAGTATTCTGTGGTTCTGAAATTTCATTTCTAATATGTATTGATTTTTCTTATGCGCTAGAATTGACGATATATAGTGTTAAAAGAACCAGTGGCGCTACAACTGCTATTACTTTTGTGATTTTTTTTTCAAACATGTATACAGGCTGGCCAAAAAGTCGTGGATCAAACGCAAATAGGGGATAGATGACGTCATCAGCTGCAAAAAATTGTTCTACGGGAGGTCTCTAAGCTCTCTAAGTTTTTATAAGAAAATTGACTTTTTTTACTAGTTCTTATTAAAATTCGAAAATATCTACATCCTGCATCTTTTTCATAATATCCCCTAAAGCTCTTAAATGTTTAATTTAGTATAATACTTACAGCAAACCAGATATCCTTTCCGCCCAATGTTTTTCCCACCCAAGTTTTTCTGAAATACCTGTAATGAAAATAATAGTTTATTTAATGAAATAACATGTACACAAAAAATAAGATTTAAAATTTGTCTATATCTTGTCTTTGGATAGAAAAAATACTTCATCACAAATCAAAAGTTTGGGACAGAATTTCATTTAGTATTGTCTTTATACTGTGGTATATGTGACTCAAATTGTCTAGAAAATTGCTTATCAGCACCAAAGTTGCCTATAGCAGTTTATTATTTCTTTATGTGTGTAAGTAATTGTAATCATGAATCGTAAAATAGTCCCGTTGAAAGGGAAAGATGTTTTTATTATTTAAAAATTTTGCTTGCTATACAGATTCTGTAATTATATATTTGTTTTTACATTCATATTATACCTTGCCAAAACAATGCCCAGTGAGGCAGTACCAATCCAAGCGATCAACATAAAGGAACCGTGTAACTTCAGCAATAGCTTTGACGATCCAGCCGCAGCTCCTACACTGGCTAGTGAGAGAGGCTCGCCAGTTGACTCGTAAGCTAAAGTATGGAAGCCTACGCGTTCGGCATCTGAAAAATATAGAAAAGCAGTCAGTATTTAAAAGTACTTGGTAATAAAAATAGGTGTAATAACTAATTACAGGAATTTAATCTTATAAATAAAATTCTCGTGTCACAATGTTGGTTCCCATACTCCTCCGCAACGGCTGGACCGATTCTTATGAAATTTTTTATGCATATTCAGTAAGTCTGAGAATCAGCTACAAGATATCTATATTTCCAAGCCCGAAGTGATAAGAGGTATCCACGCCAAATAAAATATATTGATTTTTTGGATAACATTTTTAGTATGTGGCCTTAAAAAATACATACAATTTTCACCCCTCTACGATCAACCCCTAGTTTTTTTATTATAGTAGATACATAGTTATTTTTATTGATCTAAAAAATGTTTCCTAGAAATAATATATACGGCAAAACAACGTTTGCCGGGTCAGCTAGTTAGTGATATAAAAATGTATAAAACGATTTTGATACATTATTTACGAATTATAGTCATATGGATTTTCACTTGAAATTACAATTACACCCAGGAATCGAATGACAGAAGTTACCCCTTAAAACTACGTAGCATTGAATGAGGTATCCTTAAAATCGCTTAAGATACTTCATATAGGATATAAATTACAAAGTCATATATTCAGATACTGTAATGGTCATGCATTATGGATGTAATTAAAAAAAACGTACCTTTCATAGAATCACCGGAAACCGCCATCAAATAGTACTTATTATTCGCCAAATCGAAGGTCTGCCCTTTAACCACAGAGACCGCATCCCGTTTAAACTTGCAATACAACTTGCCATCTATTGTCGATGACTCTAGTAATTGCACTATATCCTGTGGCGAGTCCGACCTTTTGACGTATGGCTCAGCTTTCGGATACGTCCATGATGTGTATAAATTAACCCGCCCATTTTCATTTCTTACGCACTCCATTGCACTGTCATCACCCATTTTATTGTCCAAACTCAGACCAGCGCCAACATATTTGGGATTATCTGTGCCCTGAATTTCGAATGTGTAGACATCGCCAGCGACAAACACTGAGACGATTGCTTTGCAATTCCCAGCTGAAATACAGTTTTGAGGTACGCCGAAGCATAATTTTGTGTCTGCGCAGCCCTGGTAGATTAGATCTAGAGGGGGTGGAGTTGTCTTTGGCTGTAAATACAAAATATTTCAGTTAAAAAAAAAAGAAACTCCGTAATAAACCTATTTTCCAATTTTGTTCATCTCAATACGAAAATTAATGTAATGTTATATTTGTCACTCCGACCTCAATGCAAACCAGTTATGTTATCAAGAGAGAGATTGGGTTCTTCAATAACATGTGTATTTTTAATTATATTTTCACACTCACCAAAAAGTATTAGTAATAAATAAGTAATAATAATCCTTTGAAAGGAGAATTAAAGTAAATATTCTATAATTTCTTTCCAAACTGATAGAATACATTACGGCGAGTGTCGCAACTGATTTTGTGATAATGTTACTTTGAAGTCTTATCTTTATAATAAAGTAATGAAGATCTTACGATAGCAAAACTATGGTTAACAATTTATTTAAACAGTTACTTAGCTATACGATTATATTATTCAAAACAAATTATCAATTCATGCTATCCTATTATAATAATTGAAAAATTATTTTTTAACACTTAGATCTAATTCAAATTAATAATTTCAGACACCTTTGTAACGCGAATATGTGCTTACGAAAAAAAATATTTTTGAACCGATATAAATATGGAAAGTTTTTGTTAGTTTATAATTTATCTTTTATTTTCGTTTCTAGATTACTTTACGACGCCTTGAACACGTTCAGATATAACAGACTTCGAGAACTACATACATATTTGCAATACGTCATTTTTAATTTGTCTTTTAGTAAGGAAATGTGTATTATCTGTGTAATTACTAATTAGTAGAGGTTTTATAATGATAAAAATCTACCTTCGACTCCATAATAACAGGGGGATCTTGTTTGGTCTTCTGGGTGCTGGAAACTGGAGAAGGAGTGGTGATCTCCGTGTCAGGGCTTACCACTTCTACTAATGACGACTCGACATTTCGCCAAAATGTTGCATAGCTCTGGGCGACTGTTGCACTATAATAATAATTTATTTACAGTGAGTCCAACAATCACTTGATTTTAAAAATAGATTAACAGAATATATTTAATCATTCATAAATACTAAAACAGTCTAACTGCATTCTTTTACCAAAGTATACTCTTTTGTTTATTTCTATAATTTTTTATAATGGGACAGGAGGCAAAACAGCAGGCTCACTTAAAGTTAATTGTTTACCGCCGCTTTCAGACACCCGCAACACCAGGTTTGCAAGTACGTTGCAGGCCTTTAAGGTAGTAGTACGAACATTCTATGATATTGTTTTGATGAAAAGAGACAGATGAATATTAAATAAAACTATGCCATTATCTATTTCTTTTCTATATATTTGGAGGCAGATCTTTGTGTTGGCGTGGAATAATAATTTTGATTGATTCCCAATACCTAGTAGGTGTCGTATGTGAGTTATTACGTGTCAATATTAACTTATCAGTAAGTACAGTAAAAATATATTGCTACAATACTTGATCACCATAGACTAATCATATATTTTATTTGTCTTGCCTTTGGTAAAATGGTATCAGCAGTACTTTGTCAGTCGAGGTACACGCAAACTAAATGCTAAATTTATCTTACCGAAACTCGACGCCACCCAAGAAGTCAGCAGGTGCTTGCCAGGTAAAAGAAAGCGGTGGTTTGTCTTCTGGCGTTGAATGAGTCGCCGTGTCGTTGTTGCCGCGACAGCTTATAATCTGCGTTGTCTCTGGAAGTGGCACTGATGTGAACTTGCCTATTATTTGTTCTGTATTCTGTAAAAATCATACTTATAATATAAGAAAAAAAACGAAATTTAATAGACGTACACTCTGCTATTCGATTAGAATTACAAAAAATACCTGTATAGCCCTGGCCTGCAATATAAACCCGCCGATAGGGACTGGAGCCCCGAAAGGACTTCCAATTGTAACATTGATGCTGTCACCCTGCCTTACTTGGGCAGCAGACGTCGAAATAGCGTATGGAGGCACCGATGACTGAGGTAGTATGCCGCTGTGTCGTGGCATTTGGTCCAGACAAGCCTGAAAAGGTATGCATTTTTATAAAATGACTTCTAGTTATTCGAATAATGGATTTAGTATGTAAAAGTGAAAAGTATATTAAGATCTCTTCTATGCAGGAGACACAAGTGCGCAGAAACAGCTTGATTCCGTATTCCACTATTCTCATTCTCCGGCAGGACAACGTCCCCTACTAGAAAACCACAGGAAGAGAAGAAAAAAGAGTTTTCCCGTAATATTTATCTTTTAAATTAAATGGTAGCGTTATTTTTTACTCGCTAATATACTAATAGTACGATAATATAATAATAGTACGAGATCCGGCTGCAGGATTAGTGCGCTCATCGGTTATTTGCTAAAAACCTAATTTTTATGTATAAATATAATTAGGAGAATATATCTACCAAGTTGCCTATCAAAATTTGGTTGCTAGTATTTTTTAATTAAATTATTTTGGATGTTGAGAATTGAGCTGTATTGCTTACTTATACGTTGGCGTAAATAAATGAAAAAAATTAAAGATGTATACAGTATTAAATATCAAATATCTTTAAAATATAAACACCTTTGAATTATAGTAGAATAGTAAATATGACCTCTTTTATATTATCTAAAAGTAATTTAGCAATAAATATATTAAGGGGTGGTTTAAAAGATACTATGACGATCTATAATAAACGCCTGTCATACTAATATATTTTTTACAAGTTAAATACAAATTTCTTAATAAAACTTACCGCAGGTGGAGCCCCGGATCCATGTTGCGATGAAGTTTTGACTAGACATAATACTGTTACGATAATCCACTTCATTTCTTTTTTTCTCGGTAGCATTTTATCTGAAATCATAATTAAACTATTCATTCCCGGCACGTAAATTTACCAACGCGCTGTCCAAGGTTTTTTGCTACCAAAAGTGCGCGAACTTAACCCTATCAGGGAAAATCTTACCAAGTTATTGGCTGACATCTACAGGCATAGTCATAAATTTTAATAAAAGAAAAAAAAATGTTTGTTATAAGACTGACAGACCTTAAAGACAGTGAGACAAATAAAAAAAAACTCCATTTCTGTCTAATAGCCTTTCAGCGATATAGAGACTTCAAACTTTTCCTGCATTTGATACCTAAGAAATAATTTCTTAGTCATAGGAACCTCTATTTGAATAAAACATTTAAAGAACCTTGTTAACCTCATTACACACAATGGCACATACCTAAAAAAACAGAATGATTAAGGCGTAAATAAAAAGACACGAAAGCGAGGATGTATCCTGTATTTTGTGCATTACGAGAAACCAATATAAATAGAAATATGTCATAGCTATTGTTACCGGTATCGAAGTATATTGACCTCAGAAAACCCGGTTTACGGAAATTATGAATTATCGGATCGGGAATTCCGCTGAGTGAAGGTTGACCAGTGAGGACTTGACGTCATTATTTACTAATAAATCCATGAAAGTACTTGCATTACACCTAAATCTATTGATAATAAATTTACGACGCCATATTGATTCATTGTGAAAGTTTAATTTAAACTCACTATAAATATATTTTGTAGTGAGTTTAAATTAAAGTAAAGATACTTTGGCTGTAAAATCGTGAGCCGGATGTGTAAGAAGTAGCTTAAACATAAAGCAAAGACATTATAATATAGCTACCTCAAAGCATATTCTAGGTACTTTACATAAAGACTGTGTAAATTAAAATACAATTAATAACGATTTCCGGAAATGTTTCACAATATAATTGCATTCTGAATGAATTATATGAAGGAATTATTTTTATCATTGTGTGTCATAGCTGATATACGAGTACATACATAACATACCGAAATTTACTAGTCCAATTGTAAATTTTATCGTTCACGTTAGTTAAATTTTTTTAAAAATCTTTTATTATGTTATTCCTACTCTCTCGCACTCGTTTTGATATATAGTAACAAAATTAATTAACTCTTACGTCATGTAGTAGGTATATCAATCATAAGATTAATTTAAATACATTTTGTTCTTACAAAATGTATTTAAATATATACTGATATATCAAATATAATTGTATTTATCAGTTTAAAGTATACGTTAGTGACGTAAGCTTTTTAAGAAAAACAATTTCAGCTTCTACACAAATAACTTTAGGTATAGGTATCAGAGAACAAACAAAAAAATACTTCATACATTTGTATTCTTGGATTTAACTCCCAACATCCTTAATAAACCAAATTCTAAGGATTCTAAATTGAATCAAGCTCAAAGCTAACCTATCCACCATTGTTTCTCATTACAGTTTAAATTGTCAAGGAATGATTTTGACAGTTTTAAATACGGGCTTAACGTCGCAAAACCGACATAGAGAACGCTGTTAAATATTTATTTTAAGAATGTGTGGGAATTTTACCGTTCACTTATTCGATGTGGGGCTTAGCTCATTCAATGCCAAGGTTTGCGGAAAATATTGGCAAAAACTAATGTACTACATTCCTTTGTTGATTGTTTAAGAACTATGCAAAATCTTATTTGATTTCTTTCTTCAAATAAAACGAGATATATTAATCTGTTAACAAGGTCAATTGTATCTGTATTAACAAGATTCCCGCCAAAACTGCTGGAATTTTGAATAATTGTATTGATTATTGTCTTTTATTTTAAAGTCGTTTAAAATAGTATATTTTTAAAAATCTAAAAGAAATTTCAAACGTCAACCAAGACAACTGAATCTATTATTACCATTTATTAAATGTATGTAAGTGGTATTAAGGGTATTTGGTTTTTTTTTTCTGACTGTTAGCTTCCAATGTAACAATAACATTAAAAGTTGTGTCATTGTTATATTCTATGGGAATGTTTTCATTAACTTTCACTTAACTTGACAGACCGTGAAACTAAATTTTATTATCAGTAGAGCTGGGATCAACCTCAAAATGTAAATCAACTTTAGCTTATTCATTCCTAAGAGTTTTATTATAATACACTGAATCAAAATGCGTTATGATTTAAAATATTTATAAAAAAAACTTTCTCGACATTTCGCGTTTGGTCTGTATTTTCAAGTTGTCAATCAAACAGAATCGACCACACGTAGTTTAATTTAGGCAGAGAACGTGTTTCATCGAAAAACATAAATGTAAATTGTGTAATTTAAGAATTATAATTAACACGTAAAAAAAGTTTGTTTTCGTTTTTACCGATATAGCGACTGCTGTGACGCCATCTTGCCTAAAAAGCGTTATGCCGGATTCTTAAAATAAATTATCTATGTTTGTTGGAATATCAGAATACCGGTGCATAGGGTCAATTTATTAAACGATTATCATTCATTATTATTCCTCAACACTACCGTGTTTAGCATTTTGTGAGTACATACTTCGAAAAAGTCTATATTTTTTATAAACAAGGCCCTCAAAGTAACGTAACGCAAATAAAATTTGTAAAAACAGTCTTTTGAATCACTTAAAAGGGAACTAGATTAGTAGAAATCACATACATATTAGTGTCCCCGGCTAAAAACTCGGCCGTCATTAAACCAAATTCTTGCCCAACTGAGCTAAGTAAACCAACGTATTCTGTAAGTATAATTCAAATGTTACAGCACGCACTAAACGACTTATGCCAATAGTAGCGAGGTCAAATTCTAGTCGGCCTTTCTCAGCAAGGTATTTCACTAAATGCCGCCATGATCTACTATTACAAGTACTGTGCAATTTATCACACTGATTCTGTATTATATTTAGATGATGTATTATTACAATATTTTAAAATCTCACGTTTAAACGTACTGGAATAATTTACGGTCTGATTCATATAAGCCTCAATTGCGTTTATTTTCACTACGTTTCTATATATATATTTAATAGGAATTTAAAGTGTTAACAATGAGTACAACACATTTAAAAGGTGTTTAAATCTAAAAAAATGTCTATTAATTTTAAGTACATATGCATTACAATGTGTAAGATTTGGGAACCCTTTTCAGTAAGCTATACCAGGGTTCCCAGCTCTTCCATAACAAACTTAAGTATAAATTCCTTAAAATATATTTATATATAATCTAATTACATCTTTTATTTTATTTACTTTTCTACTGTTATCAACACGCCTGAGTGCATGAGCGAGTGTGTGGGTGCAAATGTGTAAGTGAGTGAGTGAGTCAGTAAGTGAATGAAAAAAAGTGTGTAACTACATACTAGGTATCAAAAGCATCTCTAACACTGCGAAAGGTATGCTCGGAAGCCAGTCCTTTAGTCGTATCTTTATATTGTAGACGGTGAGCGGGTAGATGTTAAGCAGCCTATTTCTGATAGTACAAATAAGGACAAGTTATATTAAATCAATTTAAGCAATATGTTCTACATCTGTGCATCGAGAGCAAACAACGTTTATGGCGAGAACGTTAAGGTATTTGCTACCGCGGCTAATAAATGGACTACCCAGTCAGTTATTAGATAGCCTAACGTTAACCAACATAAAAAGTAAATTGAAAGACTATTTTTATATGCATTTGTCGCGTTCCTTAACAAGACTGCTATGGTTACATTTTTACAAACCATAGCGGTTTTCTAATGTATTATATTCTATTAATAAAGAAATAAAAAAAATTTTTTTTTAAATAATATTGGCTTGTCTTGTTGTGACTTGTCGACAAAAAATATTAATGGTTTTTGCTTTTCTAGTTAAAAACATTACATTTATACACAGCTTTATATTTTACGACAAACACGCTTATTTATTTAAATGATATACTTGCATTTAATTGTTGACATATTATTTCAAAGTGATCATCCCTAAGTCTGTAGGTTCGAACCCCTGCTGTTAACCAATGGACTTTCTCTCTATATCGGCATTGAACACTCGCTCGAAGGAAACCATCGTCCGGAAACCGACATGCCTTAGATCCAAAAAGTCGACGGCGTTTGTCAGACACAGAAGACTTAGAAAAACAAATGATCATAAAACAGATACAGAAATCTGAAGCCAAAACCACAAGGGTTGTACTGTTTTTTTAATATACTTACATTTCATAATCAAAACTAAAATACCTACTTAATATCTTTAATACAATATAAAATAATTGTTATTTATAAATTATATCGTACGATTAAATTTCTGAAGCTAAACTGGGTCAAGACAAAATAATTTCGTGATATCGTGTTTTTATTTATCTAACTATATATCTAAAATGTAAACATGAAGTTTGTATGCTCAAAGTAAAGTTTTCTGTAACCTCTTACTTACTTCATATAATTATTAAATTTCAAAGAACTGTACTATCTGCTAACTATCACATTTAAGTACTTGCTTTTATTTATTTAAAGTGAAGCTGTCACATTTTTTTATAGAGCATGGGGAAAACGGGCCCGAGGTGCATCTGATATTAGGAATACTGCCAGAAACCTCGCAAGTGCATTGCCAGCCTTAAGAATTGGTACGCTCTTATATTAAAACTTCTTTCGTACCAGGACGTGTTATATGACTGCTGACAAACATACAAAAAAATTTCTACTAATAACTTTTTTTTATTTTTTATAAATTCTTTCTGCGTGAAAACAATATTTAACATTACGATCTAGCCTAACTTAAGGCTAATAACTAATTTAAAACTAACCTTATTTACTAATAAGGATATTTAACACAAGCAAGAGTCCAATAACACGACTTACAGTCTCTATTAAGGTGAAGACACCCTGTTCTTGTGTACTATTTTTACCACTTCCAACTGTTTAGCACTTAAGACTATGTTTTAATAAATAAATTTATTTTAATCACGCATACAATGTCGGAACGCTAGTAACAAGCCTTGTATGGGGCGAAAAATTGGGTCACCTTTTCACTTTCG